CAGGGTATAAAATAAGCCTTGGGCCCAATTGACTTTTTGAATCAAGCGGGCAAAACAGATGTATGTGCAAAATTTCAAACATTTTGAAAAAACTAAATTTGAAAATGCCCATCTAAAACTTTGAAATAGTCTGTAGGGGGCGCTAATGTGTCAATTTGAATTAATTCACCTTCAAACGACCTAGACCCTAGAGTTGAACAATGTATTAAAGTTTTGTGCTATACAGAGTTTGTTTGTGCAAACGGGAGCAAATTTTATGCTGTCAAAAACGGCCAAAAAAAGGTCACATTTTGCCGCTCCGCTGCTCAAACAATGTTTCACTAATCAAAAATCCCTGAGGTCATTTTGAAGGTACATGTGTTGAGATGATGTGGAGCGATTTTGAGGCGAATCGGTGAAACGGCCGAGGAGGAGTCGCTTTCCAACCGACATGTATGAAAACTTTTGCTGTTCATTTTTCCATTTTGCAGTGAGATTTATGGGCTTCCTGTTTGTCAGAGGGTGGGGCCATAATAATATTTTTGTCTTGTTTTGACTTGAGGAACATGTGTACCGAATTTCATGACTCTACAACAAACTTGATCTTCAGAACTCCCATAGGGGTATTATTTTGGCTGTTGTAGGTGGCGCTGTTCTGTCATTTTTTGAGTCCCATAAAAATAAACACCAAAATATGAAATTTTTCGCCAGGTCTGATTTTTGGGCCAAAATTAACAACTTTTCATGCATATTCAGGGGGTCAAATTAAGGCTCAAAGTGCAGAAGAAAAAAGAAATAAATAAATAAATAAATAAATAAATAAATAAATAAAAAAAAAGGAATTTTTTGTGACTTGTCTCGAGCAAAAACAATATAGGTTTCAATGGCATGTGATTCATCATTTTAAAGCTTTTGAGTTTACGCACGCAACCGTCACGTTTTGGTGAGTGACGGGCGCTGACGCGTCCGTCACGCACCGCCACCATCTGTTTTCACCATTGTGAAAGCAATAGGCCCTTACCCCGTTCGGGGCTCGGGCCTAATAAATAAAAAAGGATTTTTTTTTTTTAACGTCTCGAGCAAAAACAATATAGGTTTCAATGGCATGTGATACATCATTTTAAAGCTTTTGAGTTTACGCACGCAACCGTCACGTTTTGGTGAGTGACGGGCGCTGACGCGTCCGTCACGCACCGCCACCATTTGTTTTCACCATTGTGAAAGCAATAGGCCCTTACCCCGTTCGGGGCTCGGGCCTAATAAATAAAAAAGGAATTTTTTGTGACTTGTCTCGAGCAAAAACAATATAGGTTTCAATGGCATGTGATTCATCATTTTAAAGCTTTTGAGTTTACGCACGCAACTGTCACGTTTTGGTGAGTGACGGGCGCTGACGCGTCCGTCACGCACCGCCACCATTTGTTTTCACCATTGTGAAAGCAATAGGCCCTTACCCCGTTCGGGGCTCGGGCCTAATAAATAAAAAAGGAATTTTTTTTTTCGACGTCTCGAGCAAAAACAATATAGGTTTCAATGGCACGTGATACATCATTTTAAAGCTTTTGAGTTTACGCACGCAACCGTCACGTTTTGGTGAGTGACGGGCGCTGACGCGTCCGTCACGCACCGCCACCATTTGTTTTCACCATTGTGAAAGCAATAGGCCCTTACCCCGTTCGGGGCTCGGGCCTAAAAAGGAATTTTTTTTTTTAACGTCTCGAGCAAAAACAATATAGGTTTCAATGGCATGTGATACATCATTTTAAAGCTTTTGAGTTTACGCACGCAACCGTCACGTTTTGGTGCGTGACGGGCGCTGACGCGTCCGTCACGCACCGCCACCATTTGTTTTCACCATTGTGAAAGCAATAGGCCCTTACCCCGTTCGGGGCTCGGGCCTAATTAAGTATTAACCTTTTATGGGACACAATTGCTAAATTGCTACGTAACTATTACAGCGACAGGGCTTCACACAAACATTTAACCACAATTTATTTATTTTCTTTGTTCATGCTGTTGATTGTAGTTCCTTCAAGGCTCCATCTCTTGGCCTATTTCACATCTAATCTCTGGAAAAAACTGTGGCGCCTACAGGGTAATTTGTTTGATTTACAACTAGGGATGCACTGCTCCAGCATTTTCAAATCTTATCCCGACACTTTGACTATAGATATCTACTGATACCCATTAAGGCATGAAGGGAATGAAAATATTACCATGTAGCAAATTGTGTCCAAGTTTTTAACAGTTTAACCTCAAACAAACAATAGAACAAATACATGTACTATTAATAATTACTTTAAAATATAAGCCTAATCTGGATACTGACTGAACTGATACCTGATCCACCAACATTTCTGCACCGATATCAGATACGAGTATTATATCAGTGCATCCCTAAGGGACCTGACCCAAAGGAATGGAACTGCACCTGCCCTTTAACGATTAATTTTCTAATTATGTTCTTAATTGTCCACATATTAACTAGTTAAAAACATTATACAGACAGTTATAGAATATGGAATATCTAAGCTCTGATAAGAGTTTGAATCCTGATTAGCTACAAATTACATTACATTTTATTTTTATTGACTGTAAATAATAAGCCAACTTCAGAGGTATCTGTGTTTTCCTCAAACCACTGAAGGGCATAAGCAAAGGGGCATCTTAACCAGATGTGTATCTGTCTGTAATTTGGTATGGTTTGACTAATGCTTGAATTTACCACTTGTATGAATGTACATAACCTGCATAATGATTAAATACAATTATTGGTTGAAACCTTATTGTTGTTAGTTCTGGATCCTTATGAATCAGCCATATAAATATTTCCAAATACAAACCCACAACACTTTGTTTGGTCCTTTCAGTGGAGGCTTCATATGGGTGCACATGGCACAAGCGTTCTTCTTGTCAAGTACTGTGAAATCATCAAAGTACATAGTTCAATAATTCATCCAAAAAAAAAACTTTGAAAACCATTTAATAAATAGCGTAAAAGGTTTGTAAATTTGCGTATAAGAATCAACATTAAATGCACATTCATTTAGTCTGACATACACCCTTTCAACCTCTTTTTTAATAGCATAGGGTGTTAGAATAGGGGTTTAGTAGTTTTCAGGGGATCACATGCATACATGGGTACATTAGCGATTACATGTGAGCCAGATGTATAGTGGGTATACTAACTTGAAGCAAATAACAATGATGAGGCCATCTCTGCTCTAGATAAAGCCATGGCCTTTTTGGAGGTCTTGAACTTGATCGGTGGTCTCTCCGGGAAGTTTCCAATAAGTGACAAGGCAATCTAACCCCACCCACAAAAAAAAAAAAACATTTAGCCAATCTTAATTAAGTCCAACTGGTTCAAAAATACTTTTACCTTGGCAGCAACAACTCCACAATTGTCGGTGTCTTGCTGAAAAGGATGATGTATTTGTTCACCTTTCCAATGAACATCTGTCCATTCGTTCTTTCCAGTGGACAGCTGCCTAAGTTTGAAATACTGTCCGACTCGTTCTGCTGCATCAATTGACTCATCCAATTCATTAGGATTCCTTTGTGGGTCAATCAGGAAGACCGAAGTTGTACCAAGGCATACAAACTGTAGGGGTAAAAATGAAGGCCATAAGAGTCATGCAACAGTAGGGCACCAGAGGGCGTATCCATAGTTAGTAGTATTATGTATTTGACTGTATTGGATAGCGTCGGTACAAAAAAATATTATCAAGGAAAAACTTAGATAATTTTTGTACTCTGAATGTGTTTAAAATATGTCACATTCAGTAGTATAGAAAATGTTTGGCTCGCTTTAGAGTTCATAACATATATGACTTTTTTGGCTGTAAATATTGTGTAGGATGAACAGTGTATAAAATAATACATTTCCCTGTTCTGGTAAATATGAAATTTGTAGGCATTTACCAGAAGCTTCCAGTGATTCCTATTGTGGACAACTGCAATGACAGCTTGGTATTGGCTACAAAATATATACATGTTGAAGCAAAGAACAAAAGAAATAATATATACATTATACACAAAATTATATTAATTCCATGGTCAGTTGGGAATTCTACAGCAAACTACCATTGATAAATACTGCTTAAACTTCATGTTAAATTACATAACCATAGCAACACACATAGACTATAAATATTGCATTATATTTATGCATTTAATTAGGTCTATTAGAATGCAGCATGTTCAATTAATAAGCTAAACATCATGTCTAATATTTATGATTCTAGACTCATGCTTGATGCATTGTGCATTTAAACGGTGTAACTATAATATCCCCATTGTTTGTTCCCTACACCCTTTGTGTCTTTCTTACTGTACGCAATGTTTGTCGCTTCATTTCTTTCTCTGATCGATGGACAATTACACCAGCAATGAAATGGTGCAGAATGTAAATGGATTTTCCATGGTCAAACAGATTTGCATGCTGGTGTAATAGGCCTTCCAATACCTTGAAGAGATTGGAGTACATACATTAAGCTTATTTTATTAACTCATAACCAAGCTTGCCATAACCATAACCTTCCTTATTTGTACAGACCTCGCCTGTCAGCCATTCATGAGGCTTCAGGGTGCACAGCTCACTGTGGCGGATCAATATATTTTGTGCACAATTGTGTGACGGAATTAATGCACATACAATTTCCGTTGGCCTTCTTTTCCATAAGCTTGAGACCTGAAAAGATATTTCAGACATAAGCAGCCTAATCATTTCAGAATCAATCATTTCAAACACAGTTATTAATTACACCCCTTTCTCTGGTTCACTATTTGATTCTATGGACAAATCCCTATAACTTCTATGTTTGCTCTAAATATGTGTGAAAGTATCCAAAACATGTAATAAGTTGTCACAAATCAAACAGAAAGATTGATTTGGGGTTTTTTTTCAACAAGAACTTTCCATTCCTACATTTACAAAAACTTCTGGAAAAATCTGTTTAAGTATCAAATCTTTCCATAATTATGAATTAATTTTAAAACAATTACATTTTAGAAGTTACCTCTTGTGCATCTCCTTGTTCCTCCTCCTCATCATCATCATTATCACTTTTGTCTCTTTCCTGCATAGACTTCTCCTCCTCCTCTGGTTCATCTTCATCCACAGCAGCAGCCTCAGCAAAGTCATTCTCAAAGCCCTGTGAGATGGGGGTGGGCTTTTTGAGTTTTGGTTTAGCTCTTTTTTGTTTTATCTTTTTTGGAACTGGCATTTGTTTTGGAACTGAGTAATACTTCGACTTGGTTGCTGGCAAAGTGTTGCTCCCCTTTTTGTCCCAGTGATGTTCTGTATGTTCAATGTACCGCCCTCGCAGGGAGTTGTACATTGTACGTATAAATGTTCCTGGCCTCATCAGCTTTCTTTTGTTAAGGATCTGATTTTTGACAATGCTGAACCACCCTTCAACATGGCAGTTTGTCTGTCTCGTGATCTTTTGTTGATGTTCATCCAAAGGTGTTCCAATGTCAGATGCATGGCGTCGCAGATCCCCTAGCATGACTCCACTCCACAATGGAAAGATTGCCATGTATTGCATCAGGGCTTGGATGATCTGAGGACAGTAGTAGTCATTATCCTCTGCCAATTCCTCTTCCCTAACAGTTGCCAGAACATCAGCAGACAAATCTTTAAAAAGGACTCCAAAGGGAGATCTCCCAACAATGGTTGAAGAATCCTCATCACATTGGGCGCTGATAGGTGTTTCCTCGTCCATGTCACTCTCCATTCCAAGAATGAGATCCTTGAGTGCCTGCACCTTGGTATTAACTTCAGGGGTTTTTTTTGTGTGCAGTGAGGCCCCGTCTACACGTAGCAGGGTATCTCACAAACCGAAGATATTTTCCTACGATCTGGCCTATCATCCACACAAACCCGGAGTTTTCTGTCGATAAAAACGAAGGTTTCTGAAAACTCCGGCCAAAGTGAAGATTTGGGAATTCTCCGGTTATGCGTTTGAGTGTGGACATAAATAACCGGAGTATTCGGCTGTACGTCACTACCAGCGTGCTGCTCTGACGTCACACGCGCGACCTGTGTTTACATCAGAAACAACATGGAGGCCATCAAAACCGCTTTTGTTTTAACGATTGTTCAGGCACTTTTTGCTTGCTTGTTTTTACAAGCTCAAATACTGCTTCATGTTGAAGAGCACAGACGAAGGAGCACTTTAAGGTCGGCTATTTTCCGCCAAATAACCATCCCTCGTCCAAGACATGTTCCTCGTCAAAGACGGCAACGGCAATTTTGGGTCAGACCGGGACGCACTGCCAGCTGGTGGGAGAACTTTGAGATGGAAGTCGTCCTCCCGGAGGAAGGTAGGTTTGTAGGTTTGAAATGTAATTGACAACGCATGTATGCGGTTAGGTGTGGATGCCGTTTTTTAAAAAACCGAGGCTGTGTGGACAGAAGTTTTTTTTTAGGCGGAGGGCGGATTTATAAATGCCCTGCTACGTGTAGACAGGGCCTAAGACTACACACAAGGACCGAAAGATCTCCACACCTTCATCTAACAACTGAATGTTTTGCAATCGCGCAAAGATGAAGGTGACAAACTCCTTATGCCCTTTGTCTCCAGTGTGTTTCAGAATGACCTGAGACACGGCTTTGATGATGTGTGCAGAGCAGAGGTGTACCACTGTGAATCTTGTAATTGTTTTCCATTTCTCCTTTCCCTGGCAAATGTAAAAACACCTATCCAAATATGAAAAAAGGCTTTCCTTATTGAAGGAAAGAAGCACCGCTTGAATCAGAGCATGGCTGTAATCAGTCTCTACATGCTTGACTTTTATTCTTCTAAATTTTGAAACTGCATGGAGGAAGCGGAGAAGCCAGTGGGTAATTGTAGGGACAGAGTGGTCGTTCGAGATCATTTCTGCCACAGGTAATGGGGGTGTGCCCCTCCCCTCTCCAGCCAACACAATGGCATAGTAGAGCACACGCTTGCTTTGGTCCGGTATTTTAGAAACAACACTTCCTGTAGCATCCAGATACAGGTTCACTGGTCCCTTCTTTCTGAGATGTTCTATTAAAATGCCTAACCCAGTCTCTGTGTAAAGATGGACACAGAATGGGTCAACCTGATAAATCTGAATGTATCCTGGGAAGTGTTGATAACTTGTATCACATTCTCTCATAATTTTTTGAGTTAGGAGAACCTCCAATGCCACATTCTTATGTAAATGAGCGCTCTTCTGTACCTCACAAGATATTGCTTTGAGAATGTCTCTGCTCAGTGATTGGGTGAGATTACCTGCTTTTATCTCCTCCTTTGGGGTCTCGCTTAAGAGGTTGTAGTAGGTATTGCTTATCCCTGCTTCAAGTTTTTTGGCAATTTTCCCTCTTCTTATATTTGATGCCTGCCTTTTTCTGGTGTGTTTCTTCAGATGGCAGACATTTCCGATTCGATTTACAGTCATAAACACTGCTCTGTCCTTCATGGTGGGCCTGGTTTTCATACTGAAAATGTACTGTGCCTTGCATGACGGGAATGTGGACACTGCTTTTATTGATAGGTAACAGGAATTTCTCTTTCTGCTGTATGCTGGCTTAACGTGTTGGTATTTGAAAGATAAAACACAACAGGGATTAATCTTTCGGAAATGTCTGTAAATTATATGGGTCCATGGCTGTCTTAATTTTCTGGACCCTTTCGGTCTTATGGATCGCCAAATTTTCATGTTTAAATGTATATTAAATTTTGGGGGGATGGAAATGGTCTTTCTTTTCTTATTGGAATTATCAATATTTTCCTCTTTAACTTTTTTTCTCAAGTGGCAAGGGATAGGGTTGTTCTGCTCTTCAAAATTGGAATGGTGCGGATTACTGGTGGAATCGTCACTGCTTCCAGGATGCCCCTCAAAAACTGAGCCTACATCATATTTCAAATCAATTTCAGGATCTCCCGTAACACTGCCTTTGTCTAGCATTGCAGATGCTCCATTCTTTAATAACGAAACCTTTGGAATGGCATCATCCGCTCTTGCTTTGTTTCTCCTCTGGATCTCATTCACTTGATGTCTGACCCCTCTTCGGTTGTGGGTCCATATTACCCACAACCAGTGCGTTTTGTTGTCATCCCCAAACAGTAATTGAGAAAGCTTGGACCAGACATCATCACTGTACGAGGCCCCTCTCAATTTCACTTTGGAAAACTCTTCAACAACAGCCTCCATTCCTCCAGCCGCCTCCCATAGGTCTTCTGGACTCTTCCGTTTCCTCATTTTCTAAAGAGTAAAGAATAATAGTAAAATGTTACATGTAATTTTTGTCAAATGTTCAATTATGATGTGTCCCATGTTTGTAGATTCTTGTAGCTTCCAACATGTATGCTTAATAATCTAACAATAATAGTACTACTTATTGTTAATAATTCTATTATCATAAAATATGATATTATATATTCTATTAATATGTGTTAATAGCAGTTATTATGATTACTATTGTAAACATTAATCATAGTCATCATCATCACCATTAATATTGACATTCATAATTATATAATAAATAGTAGTTTAGCATGAAAAAACACAACATTTCAATGAAATATAGCAACTTACTATCATTTTAGTGAAAAAAACTATGATTTTGGGGTGAAAAATATGTATGTATACATGTAGTTGTTTTGCTACTTACCGAAAGTGGAATTTAATGGCAGAACGATCTTGGCCTCGTGTTTTTGCCAAAACAAGATATACGTAGGTCAAGGCAACACGTGACAGTTATCGGTCGCTCGCGAAGATGCAATTGCAGAACGTAACCACGAAGCCTTTTCTTTGCTCGTTAGCAAACTATCCAGTTCAATAACTTTTCTCTGTTTGCCTAAATGTGATCACGTGATGTACCATACGGTCGAGGCATGGTTGAAAAATAAAACTAAATGTATATACATAGGCCTATAAATCATTTTTAAAAATTAGTAGCGTAGGTCACTATATGGTTTTAAGGGTTAATATATTAACCTAATTATTATATATTATTATTGTGTTATATATACATTATTATCCACGCGATGATACAGAGGGTCCTTTCTGTACCGAAGTCTACGCTGAGAGCAGCCCTTATACTGAGTAGACAAACCTAAGAATGATCAAGTCAAACACAAATAAATGTCATACACAATTTTTTTTACGCAAACATATGATTGTGTCCCACGTCCTTAATCAGGCTCTCTGTTTTGGCTCCTCACACAACCTTTACGTTCTGTCTGCCACCGTGCGGCGGAGTCGCGTAACACGTCATCCGTCTTTGTTCTGGCCTTACTCCTTGAAGTTTTCATGAGTAAAATATTATCTTCAATAATATCTGCACGTCCACAATCAAAAATAACTTATTTGTCAATTGTGCTCTTTCTTCCCCCACCTCACACACACACACACCGTCTGCGCATCAATGGTTCTGAGCGCGTGTCTGTGGTCCCGTCTGCGCGTCTATGGTTCTGAGCGCGGGTCTGTGGTCCCGTCTAAGCGTCTATGGTTCTGAGCGCGTGTCTGTGGTCCCGTCTAAGCGTCTATGGTTCTGAGCGCGTGTATGTGGTCCCGTCTGCGCGTCTATGGTTCTGAGCGCGTGTCTGTGGTCCCGTCTGCGCGTCTATGGTTCTGAGCGCGTGTATGTGGTCCCGTCTGCGCGTCTATGTTTCTGAGCGCGTGTATGTCGTCCCATCTGCGCGTCTATGGTTCTGAGATGTCTATGGTCCCATCGCGGCGTATGCATCGCATCCTTTTTATATTATATTTTTTGTTTAAAAAAAGAAAAAAACATACATAGGATAACATCAGATAAGATAAACTTTATTATATCACAGCGGAAAATGTACAAGTCACAAACACACTAAAAACACTCGTATATAAAAACATTTTCTTCCCAAATTCTTGCCTGTAGTAGCTAGCTATTGTTCATTGGGAGCTACTACACCCATCAAATCTGGGAAAAAAGTCTTTGTTGATTTTTAGTGAATTTTTCCAATTTCATTTTTGTTGCTGTGAAGGGGAAAACAATATTTTTCCCAAATTCTTGCCTGTAGTAGCTAGCTATTGTTCAAATGGAGCTACTACACCCATCACATCTCGGGTAAAAGTCTTTGTTGATTTTTGGTGAATTTTTCCAATTTCATTTTCGTTACTGTGAAGGGGAAAACAATATTTTTCCCAAATTCTTGCCTGTAGTAGCTAGCTATTGTTCACATGGAGCTACTACACCCATCAAATCTGGGAAAAA